TTTTTTTTTTTTTTTTTGTACACGTGACTCTTAAGAGGGGAAGGAGTTACACTGTACATGTTCCAATTTTGGAGAGGAGAGCAAAAGCTCAGCTCGGACGAGCCCCATGAAGTTCTGGGGCACTGAGCTCTGATTCATGGCAGCTATCAGAGCTGCTGCAGGACTATATTTATCCACGCTACATGCGTGATGTTTTGTACACTTTGGGATTTTTTAACCTTCATTTGTTCCAAATAGTCTGTTGTGATCAGCAGAGTTTTAAAATAAAAACGTGTTCTGTAAGAGTAACCAGATCTAGTATGCAAAGTGCCTCCAGTACCGTCCCTATTTTTGATGCTATTTATCCACACTTTGATTAGTTACTTCAGGAGGAAGACTCTTAATGGGAATGAGTGCCATGATTCTGTGCTTTACCAGAGGTTGGTAAATGAAGTCTGTGCCTGCACTGACAGTAGGGAGCATTTCAGTTCTGGGGCAGCTCAGCTAGCAGTGGAGCACAGATAGCCCCGTGCAGAACAGTGTCATGGAGGCTTGACTTAAAACCTCTCCTAAACAGCAGACAGACATAGTTCCTTTAACCTGTTCTATTCAGCCTCCTCTGCACCTCAGAAATGGTAGGTCAGAGGGCAGAAAATCAGTGGCATACTACCTTTGGTCTTGTTCAGTGTAGAAGGTACTTCTTGGCAGCCCTCCAGGCAGTGTTTCTAAAGTGCTTGCACAGCTCTAACACAGGCAGTCCTGGAGTTTTACAGCTCAAGCGAAGGGCCAGGTAATGTGACATTTGGTGATTCATATACTGGTATATACTTTATTTTCCATAAGTAGCATGATTCTTCTTTCCCCCACTCAGTAAAGAAGGGGATGGATGAAACCAGAGAGAAAACAGGAAGATGGTCAGATGATGGTTTGGAGGGGAGAGAACAAAGTTTGGAGATTTGGCCTGAGGGAAAGTGGGAAGACTTGTCATTGCAGCAGTGGTTACTTTTAATTTAACTTCATGGATTGTAGAAAAACTGTGAGCACTTTAATTACATAATGACCTCTAAAATGAAGGTGAACAGAAATGCTGAATTCATAGAACACATTTCTAGCTGTCAGCCAAATTTTCTGAGTGAAACCCGTTATCAGCTTGGAGAAGGGAAAATGAAGCTTGATATATGGAACTTTTCGTTACATTTTTTGAGATCTTTTTTGGGTATGAGAAGGCAGAAGAGAGAATTTGTTTCATGCCTTTATCAGAGTGCTGCAGTCTCAGCTGTTCCAGCAGATTTCGGACCCTCTCGTGTAAGCTGTGCCAATCCAGTGGCTGCAGGGAAGGGGCAGGCTGTGTATGGATGTGTAGCCTTGCTCCTCTTCCTGCCCCGTGGTGCCCACCAAGGTAGCACAGGAAGAAGAGTATGGGCACCACGGCAGCTGGCTGGCAAAGACATCATCTTTAACTGGAAGCAGAGGGCAAGCAAGATTTACAGTCTGCTAATAAAGCAGCAAAATGGCTTAGTTTGAAAAGGTATGCGTGCTTCCATCACCTGCTGTAAACTGGAAGCAGAGTGGTGGAACAGGGAAACATTTGGTCTCTTGAAAAACAGGAGTTCTGAGTGAGTGTTGGAGACTAATGTAATCATCTTAATGGTTTGCTTCCTGCTCTGCTGTGGTAACATGCCACTGCATATGCCTGGGTGCTTTTTCTAACGAGAAGATTTTTCCCTCCTTGAAAGACAGAAAAGCTGAGGGGGAGCTATTACATTCTGAAAGCTATATTTAGCTGGGAGCAATTAAAGCTAGCACTGTGTAATGACACTTGAGACTAGCTTATCCATCAGGCAAACAGTAAGACTTTAATGTTTGGTTTCAGTCAGACTTGGCATTACTGTTAACTTTTGCTTACATTCATTAAATTATGCATTTTAGAAGGTGTGTCTGGTGCAGGTTGTTCTGGAGAAGTCATTTGCTTGCTTACTGTTCCCATTTTTTTCCTACTTCCATTTTCAGTGTAAACCCCGTACTCCCATGTTGCTTTTGAAAGAGGTAGTTCTGCTCTACCCTCCAGTCAGCAGATGCCTGGTGTGCTCTTTTCATCATCTTTATGCTTGCAGCATGTTGGTGCAGTGAAATGACTCTGCAAACACTGTGGCTAAAAATTTGGCTTTTTCCTTCTTCAGTTATTAATCGAATTAATTTTCCACTCTAATTTCTCTCTGTAGACATGTTGCTACCAGCTTTAGTAGAACTTGCTCTGGGGATAAATGGCTGACTTTGAGAAGGGAGAGAATTGGCTGGTTCCTCCCAAGGGCCCAGTTCTGCTTGATGCAGACTCACACCAAATTGCAGTCTATTGCCAGGCTGAGTCTTTGTTACACTCCTGGTAGTCTCTTCTGGAAACAGTTAGAAATATTAGTGCTTCCTTAGGACTAATACAGTACAAACCAGCTTAATTAATTGCTGTAGATTTGTTAAAAGGTCACTTATTGCATGTTCATTCTTTTTTTCCCTTGGGTACCAAATAATTAATTTTCACCATTTTGCATTAAATGAACATCCTTCTATGATGCTCACGTGATCTATAGCCACCCACTGTGAGACATGTTTATTGCTCAGTTTGTCCTTCTATTCCAGTGCATCAGGCTCTAAAATTTTTCAGGTCTAATATTCTTGAGTATGTCTGTACAACTAGGGGTTACTTTTTTATTACACAGGCACAGAAAAAGTTAAAAATCAATCAACAGTGCATTAAGCTGATCTGGATTTCCCACATGGTTTTAGAATTTGTGTACCTGTGTTGCAAAATATTCAGAAACAAAATCATAGGAGTGCTTCTTTATGCTCACTGATCAGAAGAGATATCTTGGGTACAGTGGTTTGGGGATCAAGGGGGAACGTGGAACCTTTTTTGGACCAGCAAAGTGCGGGGAAAATTTCATTTTGGAACAAGGAAAACTTGATGTCTATGCAAAAATGTGGAAAGATTGTGGAACAGCAAAGGCATTGCTTGGCTTTATGGGGTGACTAAGTGATTGATACAAGCCTTGGCTTCCTGAACTGCTGATGACCTAAGGTGCCCAGTGAAGGATGCTTAGGCTGTGTCTCCTTATAGCTGTCACTTTCCTTTGGGGTCCTTTTAGGGACCCTGTTACTTCAATATGATATGTAATATACTCCTAGTAACTAACACAGTTCTTTGTAACCTGTATCAGATATTTTTTTCCTGTTTTTCTTACAATATTCATGCAAATAGCACAGAGAATTAAAGGCACAAATTTTTCAGATCTAGCTTGTTGGTTTTTGTTTTTTTGGTTTGTTTTTTTTTTTGAAGGCTTTTTATAAGGTTATTCTGTTGTATTAACCATGAGAAGTTTTTAATATATGATCAGTTGGATGTTTCAAATGTAGAACAGCTTAATTTTTGAGTTACTGGGAAAAATGCCAGCCATAGATTTGGGAAAGTCTGAGTAATAAAATCATAAAGCTGGTTCATCGCTCAAATATGTTGTTATTTCAGCTGCCTCTGCCCACTGCATGTTCCTGCAGGCTAAAAATGTCAATAGGCTCTTATATTAATAGCTATTTTAGGACTCTAATCTTAAAAGGCAGTACAATGAAAGAACCTTAGATTAATCAAAAATATCGAAGTTGACACTTCAAGTGTTCTTTTTTACTCTAGTTTAAAAAATTTCCACCCTTAATACTTAGAGGATTAAAAATACACAGGTTCATGTGTTGAATTATCCTAAAATAAATCACAGACGTTTAAACTACAAACCAGATGAGGACAGTGGCATTTTTAGGAATCAGTATAGAAGAAGCAAGAAATTGAATGTAAAATGTGAAATTAGGAGATATTAAATGTAGACAGCTGATAGGAGAAGGCAGAAGTATAGCTCAAAACTCTGAGTTGAAAACAGGGAAAAGAATTTCCTTTTTCCTTGGAAAATATGCTAAGACTAAGAATAATATTAAATAAGGACAGTAATGTCAATTCAAAAAATGCAGAAGAATTTAATTTCTTTACTGAATTAAAGCTATAGTCTGACAGCATGTAGAAGTAATAGCTAAGAAAAAGTTAAATTGCAACAGTAATCTAAATTCAAAACTGTTGTCACAAGTAATTTGAAGAATTCTCTGATTCTCATTCTGATTTTGGAAAAAGATCAGGAAAGCCACAGCCTCAGAGAAAGCTTAACAATGTGCAAGTTTTAATAAACAGTATGTGGTAGTCAGACACTGGTTTGTCTGGGGCTGATTGATTGCAGACTTTTGGAAAATTTATCAGCAAGCTGATATGGGAACTGACTTGAGGCAATAGAAATTCAAATCTAACAATTGGAATGAATGACCATTCAGTCCATGAATATAAAGGCAGACTAAACCATTGTTGCTTTTTAGCTCAAATGGAGCACGTTAAACTTTGTCATAACTTCTTTTTGGTAGTGTTCACGTTGTACAGAGAAGTCTCGCAGGCTGCTAAAACTGTAAAATTGGATGGTCTTCAGAAAAAGTGCATTTGACTACACATCAAAGCCCTTTGTTAGTTGCTTCAAAGCAATGGCTGAATAATGTTACAAGCTTGTCAAAGAGTAGTACCCCAGCATCTATTTCTGTTCAGGATTCTTCTTTCTTGTTTTTGTGCTGACAAGATGTTTAGGTGGGTTCCCCACGGCCTCAGTAGAGTTACACACTTGTGCAGAGTTCTGTATCTTTGGAGCAAGAAGGGCTTCTGTTACAAAAGGCATTGTTCTCACACTGTATTAGTAGACTAAAATTCAACTTGCTTAATTATGTGGGAGAATGTGGGTAACTTGAATTTTTAATGCATATCTTTCAGAAAAATGTCAGCTGTATTTTAAGGACATGTTTTGGGAGGGGAGAATGCACAAAAATCAAGGCAGAAAAATTTTCAGCTATTCATATACCCAACTTGTTACTTCCTTTATGCTTCTCAGGTATGAAAGGACAATGCAGCAGGAAGTTTTGTTTCTCATCTGATTTTTTGATTTGTTTTTCAGATCTGACACAAGACTCATGTGAGCTTGCCACATCTTGCCTTATGGAATAGCTCATCCTTGCACTTCTGTAAGAGAAGAGATTTGGATTCTTCCTGGTGGCAGTGATCCTACCCACTCAGTGTAAGTCAGTCATCCTTCTCTCACAGCTGTGTTGCCCTCCTTCTGGGAAAGCAGAGGTTAAATTGGTGTGGAGCCTGCCCTAGCCTAGAGAGAGCATGATCAAAGAAGCTGTGTAAGAAGCTTCCTGGTATGAAGAATCACTCAGTCAGTGGAGAATGGGAGAGCTCTGCAGTATAGCTGAGAAGGGGCAGCAGTTCAGTCCCCTTTTGGGATAAGTGGTGCTTAATTAGATGTCTAGAAGAATAGAAGAAAGTAACAAAGAAATGGAATAGGCAAACCTGAAACTGTGCTAATATAACCTTTTATTCTGCTTAGACAAGGGTAATTGTTCAAAAATACCTCAAAACTGTGTTACTTTTGAGGGAAATGGGGCAAAAATACCATTTGTTAGGTTGTACTGTGTTTGGGTTCCCTTCACTCCAAGGCTTTGGGGTTTCCACTGATCATCCACTAAGTCAGGAAGGGGACTCTCACCCATTGCTCCACTGGACTGTGGTTTGTGTCTCATTCTGAAATGTTCTCTCTAGACTGCAGCCAAATACAGGACTTGGGCAAGGTTGAGATTGTGTTATCGGTGGCATTGAAAAACTTCTTGTCCTGCTGGTGGGATTTTTTGCCTGAGTGTTCACTAATTGTGAGATTTAGCATTAGGAGAAAATTCTGTCCTGGGTCATATTTCCAGTGACAGCACTTGTGGCATTTTATCTTCTCTAATAGTATGTAAATAGCATGTAAATGTAGTCACAATGCATTCTGAATACTTAACAATTTCTCTTTTGATGTAGGAATATTGGTAATGTATTTGAACTTTCTGGCTAGCTGCTTTTGCTGCATCTCAACTTTTTAATGTTCGTATTTGTGAGTGTGTTTACACACATGTCTACTCTTGTCCTTTTAAACATGTAGGGACTAGATTAGTATTTTAGAGCACATAGGATGGTTAGGATGTTGTAGGCCTTATGTGCATGTAATTTAGATATTTGATTGCAGTTTTGGAATGCTGGTGTTCTGAACTTTGCAGTTCTTACATTCTTGTGTATAAATTGATGTTTTTAAAGTCTGTCTTGATAGACTTATGTGGATCTTATACTTATAAACCAGAATAGAGCACTGCTGTTTGCACTATTTTCTTATTGTATTTGCACCTGTGTTTGTATAGGCTTAATCACTGTTTAAACTTGGTGAATTTTTAGGCTGAATCTCTGTTTCTCTTGTGAGCATGTAAAAGGTATCACTAGCTCTGTGATGCCCAGCAGGAACTTACTTTCCTCTGGGAAGCTGGAGATGAGTCATGAGAACTGAAGTACGGAGCAGGCACAAGGACTGAATCTTTGCTAGGTGTGACTGCTGTAAAGCACATTAAAAACCGCATATGTTTTCAACTTCTCTAAATTAGAAGCTGTAAAGGTGTCAGTGGAGGAGAGCAAGGAGTGGAAGATACTTTCACTTGGTTATTTCTGTTGGTAGGTGCTGCCATACTGCTCCAGTGGGAGGTGCCCAGTTGCTCTAGGATCCTTTTACCTATGAAGATAGTGGAGCTTATCAACACTATTACAAAACAGCTCGCTGATAAAGTTGGGAAGTTTTATGTTTAAGTAGCAAAGCAAAGTTTTTTGATTGCCTAATGACTTTCAAAACTTTCTGTACGAGGCAGAAGTGAACACAGACCTGCCCCACCCCAGTGTGCAGCATGTGGTGATTTTATTTACAGAGGGGGTTCCTGTGGAGCAGATAGGTTTGTGACTTCACATGGAGTCGTGCAGGAAAGCTGTGAAAAAGTCTGGCCAAGATCTTATCTGCTTGTCCTAATCTTTCTGATGTTCACCATTGAAAGGCAACTTTGATAGCAAGGGTGGTAGATTTCCAGGGATACAGAACTGACAGCATTTGAACAGTTACCAGAAAGAGGGAATTTTTCATTGCTCCTCTAACAGCAGCAGAAGACTGTAATGAGAATTAGGATTTACTTTAACAGTAATACTTCCATTTCCATACTGATGTAGTACAATCCTGTTGGTGTATGTTCTAGGAATGCATTAGTACTTTGTAACACCCTGTTTTTTGAGATACAATAAATCTCACATTAACACCTGGTATAATTTCACTAAACAGCTCCGTATCTTTTAAAATAGGAAAGAAACAGCAGCTGGTGCTCAAAGTGAATTCACCTTTAAGTGACTATCTTAAATTCATTTTTACAAGCTTGAAAATTAAATCTATGGCTGTTACAGAAGCAACTTCCATATGTCACTGAGCCTTTAGAGGAATTCTTTACTGCTCTCCTGAATGTAGGAAAATACAGTGAAAGAAGTGATCCTCAGTCCACATACATTTTTTTTAAAGAAACTTCATGGAAACCTTGTGTATTCTGATCTTTGTTGGTATTTTCTGTTAGTTTTGCCAACCTTTCTGATCTTTGTTGGTATTTTCTGTTACCCAAAATTCCAAGCTGAGTTCTTTGGTACAAATATTACGTACATTGAATCTGTGGTTTTATCTCACTTGTGAAAGGTATTCAATTTTACATTTTAAGCTGAATAGTGGCAGCTCAAAGCTGTCTGCTGGCTCTTTACTAATAGTGTTATATGAAAAACTCTTCATACAGAACAAAGTTCTGTGTTAAAATATGTCATTTAGTACTTCCTCTGAAGGAAAAAGAGGCCAAATCTTAGCATGCATACCCTTGTAAATGCAAAAATAATGAATGTACAACCCTAGCTTTTGTGTACAAGCTCAGGACTACAAATTTAAGCCACTTCCCTCAGGTGTGTTTCTTTTGGAATTAGCTATGAATATTTGCACTAACTTGTCCAGTGAATAGTAGCATAGGTAAACCCCCTGCAAAAAAAAAAAAAAAAAAGTGAAGGAGGGAAGAAAAAGGCTGTTTGTTCACTTCTTGTATTACTAGTTGCTATTGAAACAAAAACCCCCCCAAAAAAAAAAAAAAAAAAAAAAAAAAAAAAGTGAAGGAGAGAAGAAAAAGGCTGTTTGTTCACTTATTGTCTTACTAGTTGCTATTGAAAGGAATTATTTTGTTATTTTTTAACACCAAAACAAACTGTTACATCTGAGTACCATGGATGGCATCTGTGGCTGGGAGGGGTGAATAAGCAGGTTACCAACCTCATGGAAACATAATTTGTATCTTTTTGTTTTAGCCATAGATATTTTGATCTAAAACAGAAAACACCTGCTTAGACAGAGGAACTGTTTGAAACAAGCAGACTGCTGATTTTATATGATCTCAGAATAAAGTCAATTTTAGGACTTGTTTCAGTAGAAAATAAGTGAAATTATGAAAAGGTGAATGAAATATACAGGCACAGTTTCATTAATACAGCATGATATTATTTATCATTTATATGCTTCTTTTAGGGCAAATTGTTGATTGTGCCAAACGTGTCAAGCTGATGTTTGGCTTGAGGTGGTGTGACAAGCTTGTGAGCTCCCCAGCCCTGTGGTGCCAAGGTGACAGACCATTCTCCCTGGATTCAGGGCAGAGTATGCCACACACATGCAAATTCAGGTCTTTTTAATAGTTACTGCTTCCTACTTTGGCAGAGACTACGAACTTTAAGTGCTTGAAATAGCTAATTAGCATAGCCAAAAGTAACTTAGGAGATCATGAGTCTTGTCTCCTGTTATGGAAACTTTAGATTCCTTAAGCTTAAATGCAGAGAAAAGTAGCAACTACCGCGTGTCTGGTTGGTCCAGAGACAATCAGCTGGGTCACCCTTCCCATTTTAGCAAGGGAACTAGTTGCCTTCTTACTGACATTACAGTGAGGATTTTATGAAGTGAGATTCTGCATTTTGCTTACAGAAAGTGATACAGATAGTCCATATTCCTACCAGTGAAAATGTTTTCATCACACCCTCACTGAGCAGAAGCATGCACTTTTCATGAACTCAGTCCTCCGATGTACATAATTTTTTGCTTGGAAAAGCCAAAAGAAACTTGCCTCTTCTTTTAAGAGTAGCTTTAAGAGACCATCTCTGTCTTTTAGTATAAGCTTGAACATGTGTTTTTGCCAGCCTTATCTTTTTGAAGAAAGATGGGGTAAATTTTTCCTGTCTTTGCGCGTGTAGACTCTGGTAATTTATTTGTCCACCAGCTGAAGAGTAGAAATAAAGCCACAGATACATCACAAGTCAGACTTGCCATATTTCAAAGGTGGCCTTAGAAATCGATTGTGACCAACAGCTGCATAGTTGTGTAGCTTCAGGGCCCCTCTTTTCCAGCTGTGCCACAGCAAAGGTTTTGTGTGCAAGAGAAATGCAGGAGGGTGGAAGAGAAGGTTGCAGTTGTTGGTGGGCCCCTCTAGTGTGACAATGAGGCTGTGAGACTGAATCCCCAACCCTGCCATGTGTAACAGTGAATGAGGGATGGCTTTGGCCTCTGGTCACTGATTCCTAGTTTATATGATTCCTAGTTTATATGCTTTATACTCACATCTGCTTCTGAGAAAAGGTCAAATGTTTTAATTCGTAAGGCAGGTTCTCGGAGTTGTAGGTACTTGAAGACAAAATGAAAATGAAATTGTTTCTTTAGGTTGGAAAAAGCTTCCTGCTAAGCAGAAAAATATTATCATTATTGAAGCAGCTACTTCTCAAGGAGAAATAAATATTAAAGACTGAGTAAAATGTTAACAGTGCAATTTTTTTGAGCTACATGTATAAAGCTGAGTGGCTTCTTTCAGTCAGTGGGCTTCTGTTACATTAATGTGTTTTAATCTTATTTTATCCTTGTGTGCTTGCCCAAGAATGCAATGTCGTAGATTTTTTTGTTGCACTTCTCATCAAACCACATATGAGGGATGAAAAATGGTCAAACCTGATGAAGTATAATTATCAATAGTGATGAATAAACAGAGATGTTTTTATGAAAATGTAAAATTCCTAGTATTTGTTTATTGAGTTTTTTTAACTTACCCAACTTTACCTCATTCACAAAATGTCTGTTTTGGAGACATGTCCTTTTCAGTGACCAAACCATAGCAA